GAAGAAGAAGAAGAAGAAGAAGAAGAAGAATTACTATTATTATTATTATTTTCCAGGGTCTGAGGCAGTCCCTATTCCTAAGAAGCTATCCACAGTGAAGTCCAGGAGCATGCGCACCACGGGGCTCACCGAGCAGCACCGATAGGCTAGAGCTGAGGAGCTGTGCACGTACCTTCGGGATGCAGCACTTGCACAGCATGCACGAGACCCTGGCTCTGATCTCTAGTACCATGAACATGTATGTGTACATGTACACACACACATACACACACACACACAAGCTAGAACCTGGAACACACTAAAAGAAATTCTAAGAGAAGAGTTAAAATTAATAAATATAGAATTCTGAAGACTTTACTTACAATTTCATTTTAACAAAGATATTTAAAATGAAAAGTATTTTGTATCTTAACTATGCATTAAGTAGCACAACATGGAATCTCGGCTCTCACCCGAATGGCACCCCAAGGGCACCCAGAGGGGTCACGAGGACTGTGGGCACTGCCGTGTAAGCCAGGAAGTTTCCAATCTGCCCGACTGCCACTGTGAAGAGAACCACAAGGACACATGGCGGTGAGTGGGAGGCTGGCTCAGAGCGAAGTCCTACGAGCCCCGCCCTGCAAGGCCTTTCCCAGGGCCTTGAGTCCGGGCTCCCCCTGCGGGTTTGCAGGCCCAAACTGCACCGCTCCCCACCCAGTCTGTTGGGGTGCAGGATCCACTGCCACCAGCAAGGACTGAAGGTGAGTGTGATACTGAGTATCCTGTACTCTTAATACATCCTTGCATGTTGTTTTTAAAATTATTAAATACTGTTTTGAAAGTTTTGGGAGGAAGTCTACCAGATTGCCCAGGCTGACCTTCAACTTGTAATCCTCCTGCCTCAGCCTCCTACATAGCCAGGATTATGGGTGTGTGCCACAACACTCAGCTCTTTCCAGTACTCTATTTTTTAACTGAAATGTACATAAAACCTTTACATGCTTAAGTAGTACCATGTAATATCTTAGTGCACTGCATAATGTTTAAATCAGGTTAAACGTCTGCCCACTAGAAAGTTGTCATTTCTTCTGGCCTTCTGAACCACCTAGGACATGACCATTACCTATAGCAGTGTGGCAATCTATGGCATGCATGTCATTTGCTTCTCTTTTAAGACAAAAGACCTTAATGTATAAGCTGCTTTCTCTAAATGAAAGCCGCAGCATTCAGGTGCAATTGCAGCGTCAGCACCTTGTGGTACATAGGTGGGTCTGGGCTGCAGGGAAACCTTCGCCTCCAGAGCCCGGGTCACCCTCCCGTGCAACAGGTCGGCTTCTGCTCCTAACTGACTGCACTTCTACACCCAGTGGCCAGCCTCCCCCACAAGTGGAGCAGAGCTCCCTTCGTGCTTCAGGTAGTCCAAGAAGGACCTGTCCAGCTGCAGGCAGCCAGCCCACCACCAGGCTTCTGAGGTGCAAGGAAAATGTGCCATCTGCATGGGACAGCCAGGGACTCCACCAGGATGGCCCTCAGGGTACAGAATCAGTCTCAGCTAGCCAAGGGTTGCCTAGACAACAGGATGTAATAAGTAAGCCATGATATTTCTGAAATTTTTTTGATCTAAAAAAAACTATTTATTTATTTGGTACAGGGTCTCCCTGTGCTGCCTGGAATCACAGTGACCCTCCTGTCTCAGCCTCCCCAGCACTGGGATTACAGGCACACACCACCACGCCCAGTTTCGGTGGCCAGCACAGCATCTGGGGCCAGCATAGCATGTGAACCCAGTTCCTTGCACTTGCCAGGCAGGCACTTACACTGCCCATTTATCTCCCCAGACCCTGAAATTTCTGACAAAATTGTGACTGATGTATTCACCATAGTCCTGAGCTCTGATCTGATTACTTGTTTTTGTGTTATACCACATGATCTCCTCGGTTACTTGGATGGTGCTCAGCGAAAGAAGACACCTAATCGGAATTCAGGGACACCTTGGAAGGGCGCCCAGGAGCACACAGGGGTTCTTCTGGCATGTTCAGGCCAGGGCAGTGGCCTGCGCTCAGTTCCAGGCCGGCTGTGAGCAGCCGCCACCACTGTTCTCCCTGGAGGTTGGGCACACCTCCCTCCTCTCACAGGAAAGGGGAGGACTGTCACGGTGTGCAGGCCAGGAGCAGGGACGCCCTGGCAGCGGTCAGCACCACCCCTCCCCGCTCCCAGCCCCACAAATGGCCAAGCAGACCCCCACACACTTACTTGCAATGGTGCCAGCCCACCATACAACGTCTGTTAAGTACGAGGTGCCTACAAAAGAAGGAGAAAATGCCGTGTGAGCAGGTTCACAGGGCGCAGGCGTCTGCAGTGAGAGGCTGGCAGCTACACATGCAGAACGAAGACCCTCAGGAGCTCCCGGATGGAAAATACAGAGTGGCATGCTGCTTCTCACCCTATAAATAATCTTTAGTCTATACATAGCAGGATGAGAAACCACTAAAAATGGCAAAGATATTTTTGTAACTAACTCAAGGCCGACCCAAGAAAACAAACAAAAGCTCTGTAATGGTTTTCCTTGGCAGGATTAGGCCACTGATTCGTGTGTGTGTGTGTGTGTGTGTGTGTGTGTGTGTGGCCAGCTCAGCCCACCAGGGGGCGCGGCTGGCTGGCATGTGGTTCTGGGGGATTGAACCGCGGTCCCTGTGCTTTGCTAAGCTTGTTCTAAGTAGGTGCTTTAGACCACTGAGCCATCTCACCAGCCCCTAGGCCACTAATTCTGCAAATATTGTGTGGAGTGGAGTCTACACTGCTCCCCAAGGAAATGTCCCACGCTCAGCTCTTTCCTGACGGGAACTCATTTTCGCTCACTGCTGGAGCAGCTTCATGCATTCACTGTTCTCCCACGGACACCATAATTTCAGTATCACAGGGCTCAAATACTTCCTGCTTAAAAAAGCTGCTCAATTTTTCCAATTTAGAATCATTCCAGCATGGCTCTTCTGTCAGCTTTTTGAGCACCAGTCTTTACCAGACTGCTCAGCATCCTGGCACTTCATTCAAACCTTACTTCCCTTACATCCTCCCCTGCCTCCCCTGCAGGTGGGCACAAGGTGAGGCACTGCCTGGCCTCTGGCACACGGGCCTCCTGCCCTGAGGGACAGGTATGTGCAGGGAGCAGCTCCACACTCCGAGGCCCATCTGTCTTTCTTCAGGTATGACACTATGCCTACCTCGCAGAGCTCTTTCTACTGCAGACAAGTACCCAATTGTAATGGGATGTTTAATGCTCAGCAGTAAAATCCGCACTTTGGAATAAGGGACAGAGGAAGCCAACCCACTTAATGTCGGAGCAGAACTACATGTATTTGTCATGGTTTGGGTTTTTTTTGCAAGGGGAACAAGACAATACAGGACACACTTTATTTTATTTTATTCCCCCCCCCCGACACATTTTATAATCACCCAAAGAATCATATGCAAAGAGTGCAGGAAATCTGTCCACACACTGAAGACCAAAGATCCAGCTGAGGGCCCAGATCCTACTACCCTGCATGAGTCCAGCTGAAAACCGAGAGCCTATAACAGTGCCTCCCAGAAGTCCAACTGGAGACCAAGAGCCCACGACAAAGTCTCACGCAGGCCCGCTTCACAGATCTGCACTGGAAAGGCCAAAGGTCAGTGGTGGAAGCTAGGAAGTCTATGCCAGCAGGATGAAGGATCTGCACTCGCAGGCTGAGGGGGTCTGCCCAGGAGCCAGGAATAATGCTCAAGGTAAGCACCACAGCCGTCCTGACAGTGAGGTCCCGAGCTCCTCCAAGGACAAGGAAAACTGAGTTCCCATCAGGAAAGCCAACACAAGCTTGTCCAGGAGGCTGAGCTGTGCACCATGTTCCCCTCTGGAGCCAGGAAGCAATGTTTAAATTGAGGACCAGAGCTCCCCCAAAATAAACCGTAGCCACTCTCAGCAGCAACAAGGTCCCGAGCTCCTCCAGTGACAAAAATTGTTGGGGGGTCCCTAAGATGAAAGTGATCCTATGTGGGAGGGCAGGATGCAGCTTCAAACTACCTTAGCCTTCCTGGACATTGTAGCCATTAGTCGGTCACCAGGAAACCTTGGGTTACACGTTACTAACTTCCCAAAGGTATAAATAAGCGTCCATATTGTTGCTGGGGTGGGGGGTCTTCTCACCAACCAGGCATAGAGTTGCCACCGAACCCAGCTCTCGTCTTCTTGCCTATCTTTGCCTCATTCCTGCTGCTATTTCTCCCTGGGTAGAATGGATCACACTGAGACCCACGGATTCTTACAAAGGATGGCCATGTTCATCAGGAAAGCCAGCGTGATGCAACAAGGGCCTCCAGGAGATAGCCCAAGAGAGTCAGCAGCTTCCAACAGCTTCTGTAAACAGCTTCCCTAATAGCGCTACAGCAGCTTCTCAGTCCTGCTGTTCATGCTGCTGGCAACAATCCTCAGGTAGGCCTCCTGCACCAAGCACCATACTAGTTCGATTCAGCTGGGCATAATAAGTTAACCGCCAGTTAGCTATCCACTACAGTATTACTGTAAGTACATTAGAAATGATACACGAAGTAGCAAGGAATGATAGAGCTCAGTGCAGTGGTACTGTGGCCCCAGCTACTCAGGAGGCTGAGTCAGGAGGACAGTCTGAGTCTAGTGCAAGACCAGCCTACCAACACGAAATACCATGTGTCAAAAAGAGCAACAACACACACACACACACACACACACACACACACACAAAACCCTTATACAAAAAAAAACAAAACCCTTATAGGGGGCCTGGCCATAGCTCAGTTCTTTAAGTGGCTGCTTCCACAAAGCTGTGAGCCTCAGGTTGCCGTAGTTCGACTCCCACAACACTCCAGCCAGACAAACCACGCCTGAGGGCATTCAGAGAAAAAAAAAAAAAAAAAAACAAACCAGCAACAACAGAAAAGAAAAAGAAAAAAGAAGTAGCCAGAAAGGTGGTGCATGTCTGCACTAACTCTGGGGGGTGGAGTGGTGACTGCACTAGCACAGAACTGTAGATCGCAGAAGATAGCTCAGCCTTGAGGTTCTGTTGGGGTTTCTGGCTTGCTTCTTCAGGAGTAAACACTGCTTTTTAAATTTTTCTGCTTTGCTTAGTTCTTATTTTTGTTTTCTCCTCCTTTACTGTTCCCCAAAGCTCGGGTAATCTTCCTGTGCCCTTCAGCTATGCTTCTGATATCTTTTTCTTCCTTTATTTTTTCCTCCTATCCCTTTTAAATTTTCTCCAAGGGTAAAATCACCATTGAGAGGTTATTTACTACATATAATTTTCTGGTTTCTTTTAGATTTTGTCACATACTATAAACTTTGCATTGATGGTTAAAGGTGGAAAGTTAACAGTTACCACAGTTCACCATTTTCTACACTACCCTTGATGCTACTGTAATTACTGACTACAGTACTTCAGTATTTCTGTCTCAGGCCAGAGGATCTACCTGACCCACCTGCCCTCGATCCTCTCCATGTCTTCAGCATTAACAAAGGCTGCTTTTACCTTTCTTATCTCTTTACTGCACCTCTGAAAAACTTATCACTGATGACCATAATGAAGAACATGGGTAGTGAATCTTGAACAGACACAGATACAAAATAAAGGAGCTCAGGGGCTGGTGAGATGGCTCAGTGTTTAGTCTAAAGCACCTACTTGGAACAAGCTAAGCTATGCAAAGCACAGGGACCACAGTTCAATCCCCAGCACCACATGCCAGCCAGCCCCGCCCCCTGGTGGGCTGAGCTGGCCACACACATAAAATAAATAAATAAAATTTAAAAAAAATAAAGAAATTAAAAAAAAATTAAAGGAGCTCAGGAAAATGATAGGAAACATAAATGTCCAACATACGAAAGAACTGTACTCCATGAAACAGATTCAAAAACATATCCAGCAGATTAAAAATTCTATTCAAAATATACACAACAGAATGAACCAATGTGAGGACAGGTATCAAATCTAGAAAACAGACCTGCAGTTAGTGGTCATCAAGTGAAACACTTCTCAAATATAGCAAAGAGGGGCCAGGGAGATGGCTCAGTGGAATAAGTGCTTCCCTGACAAGCACAAGGGCCTGAGTTCAATCCCTGGTTCCGCAAAAAAAAAAAAAAAAAAAAAAAAAGCAAAGAATGACCAAGAACATCAATCCATCAGGGCTAGATGAATCAATGAAAGAAGATAGCACAAAGGAACACTAAAAAATCTGTTCACAGAAGTAATGGCAAAAAACTTCCCAAAGGGACCGGGGAGAAAGCTCAGTAGAATAAGCGCTTGCCTGGTAAGTGCAAGGGTCTGAGTTCAATCCCCAGTTCCACAAAAAAAAAAAAAAAAAAAACCTTCCCAAGCATGGAATAAGAATTTGAAGATAAGTGAGGCATATTTACTCCCATTATCCATGATCAAATAAAAACCAGTCCAAGGTACACTGTAGTCAGGATTCCAGAAACTCAACACAAGAACAGAATGCTATTAAAAGCCATTAGAGAAAAGAAACAAATCACCTATAAATGAAAGCCCATCAGAATCACAGCTGACCTCTCAACACAAATACTTAAGGAGAGCTTAGAGTGAAACATTTCAAGCCCTAAAGAAAACCCCTCCAATTTATACTAATGTACCCCACAAAATTATCTCCCAAAATCATGGAGATATTAACAAAAAGCTTGCTGTCCCGAGGGATCAAAGAACAGGGCCAAAGGAAGGGTGCCTGTCACCTCTTACCCTGGCAAGCTGGCTGCGAGCCTGCAGATAACAGCGCATCCCTAGGGCAGCACTGCCTGTGCCTCGGTCCTGCACCTGCGACCTCACCGATCAGTGCATAGTTGATTTTCATGAAGTTTACTGCGCGCATTCCTCAGCCTGCTTTTGTTGTGAGCAGCTAACTCAGCTAGAAATACAGGCAGTCAGACAAGGCCAGGCCCTCAAGGAGACAATACGGAAGACAAGGTGACTTTGCCACTTTGGAAGACACACACTCCCACTGTGGGCCAAACCTCAAGACAAAAAAAATGAACAAATGCAGCCATATACTTCCCTAGGGATGGACATCACACGCTGATATTCTAAATAGGTATCAATCACCTTGAAACAGCCCCAAAGGGCCGGCCTGATAGCTCACCGGACTAAAGCACCTGCCTAGGCAGAGCGAAGGGACCACAGTTCTATTCCCAGTGTGCCCTGCTGGCCCCGCCCCCAGGGCGTGCTGAGATGGAGACTGGGCATGGTGATGCACCTGTAATCCCAGCTCTTGGGAGGCTGAACACAGGCGGA